CAGTCTCACCGCTGCCCCCACCCTCCCCCCTGCAGCCCCTCAGTCTCACCCCTGCCCTCCCCACATGAGTGCCTGTGGTTGGGCATGTTCTCCATTCTGTCATCTTTTCCATTGTTTGGGGCTTGTTTTATTTGGGTCTTGATTTCTTACAGTTGATTTCATTGGTGGATTTGGCCCATTTTTTCTCTACCATGTCAGTGAAAAGCCTTCCAACCTCTTGTGCAAGCAGGCGTCCTTGTAAGTGTGGCCATCAGAGCCTGCCCCTGGCTGGGCCTAGCCGGCTGGGTTAGCACAGCCATGAGGCTTCTCTTCCTGAGGAAACTTCACCAGGCATCTGTCTGTCCATCCGTCCATCCGTCCATTCCCCCACCTATCCCTGACTTGTCAAGGTCAGCTCGGGGCTTGGCCCATACTCCCTGGAGCTCAGTGCCCAGCAGGGTCTAGGAGGTGGGTCTGGATGGTTCTGTGCCAGGGGGTCGAGGGGGCATGGAGAGGCCTCCTCCCAGGAGGGCGCTGTGACACTTCTGTCGGGGTCTCACTGTGGCAGGACATTGGGGTGTTGGTTTCTTATCTATCCAGGGCTCTGAACACTGTGGGCTCAGGGTGGGGGCACCTGGGCCGCTGGCCCACCTCCTCTCAAGCAGCCTTTGCTGGGTCCCATGCATAACCCCGAAATCTGGGGTCAGGAGAGGTGGCTGGCGGTCCTTCTCCATAGAGATGCTCGTCCTCTGTCACGCTCAGGCCCTCAGAGACAGTTCTGCCCTTCACGCTATGCCTGTGGCCACCCCCTGGGGACCCAGCCCTCTGGGCAGCCACAGCCTTCCTACCCGATAGGTGAAGGCCCATCTCAGCCGAGGGCCACCAGGGGTAGTGAGCGTCCCATTCCCATGACAGGGGAGCCCTGGTTCAGGCCCCTGAGCCCGGGTGGAGGGCGGCCGACCACCCGGAGCCCACGCAGCTCAGGCTGGACCGGGCTCTGGGGATCTTCCTCTGGCCACCAGACCCTGGGTACACCCTCACCCGACTCCAGCCGCATGGCCCAAACTCTGCTGGCGTGTGTGCGGCCAGAGCCCCTGCCCAAGGCCTGGGAGCCCTCGGGGGCTGGGAGGCGGCCCCTCTGACATCTGGAGCCTTCCACGCAAGAGCCTTCCTGCCCTGGTGCCAAGGGCGGCTCCTCAGGGGCCCCCTGACTTCTGCCCACCCCCACCCTGCCCCCACAGGCCTGTGTGAGTGAGGAAACACCAGTCCCTCCTGCACGTGACCTCCAGCCTCAGTGCCCACCGAAGACCGGAGGAGACACCAGCCTCTCTGCCCCCGGGGCCAGGTGACCGGACCCCAGCCAGGACAGCAGGGCCAGTGTCCAGCTGAGGGTGGCCGCGGCCTCAAGAGAGCTTATTGTCTTCTTTTTCTAAACAAATCGAGGAAAAGACACGAAAGACTGCAGCATCGCTGGGACCTCCATCCCCCGCAGCCAGCCTGGGACGGCCCTCCCTCGTGTGCTTGGGACGGCAGCGCTGGACCCCCGGAGGCTGCCCGCACCGCTGCTGGGGGGGCCACCACAAGGACTTTGAGACAGGAAGGTGTGACCCCCCACCTCGAGGTCCAAGTAAACCCACAGTGACACCCCCACCGCCCTGAGCGGGGGTTCCTGATTAAACACCACACACGATGCTGTGAGCGGTCGCCCAGGCAAAACCCCGCCCCAGGTGCCCTGCTGACGGACCCTGGGGGTGGGCGGCCTGGCTTGACCAGGACCACAGGCCCCTTCCGCCACAGAGCGAGGCGCTTCCTTGTCATTAGCCAGTGACCCTATTCACAGAAGGGATTAAACCGGGTCCTACAGCATCCCTAAGGTGCCCCCAAGTAGGGAGCAGAAAAGAGCGCCGCCTGTAGACCCCCTTCCCTGAGAGGCAGGGGTCTGGAGCCGAATTTTAAGTTCAGGCTCAGAAGTGGCCTCAGGCTAGATGCCCTTGGAAGTCCCATTACAACGCTGAGACACAAGATCAAGGAAGAGGAGAGAGAAGGGGGTTGGAGGCGAGGCAGCATTTGGGGAGAGGGCGGCCGCGCTGCCCTGCTGGTGAGGAGGGGGCCGGCTGGAACAGAGTCTGCGGAGTGCCGTCCAGGGAAAACCCGCCACTTTACTGTAAATCTGCAAAAGCGCCTAAGCATCGGTCAAACCACCTTCACGCCCCCTCCCCTTGCCAAGCCGTCTGCAGCCCCCTTCCTCCCTGGGCTGCGAGTGGGGACCCTGGCTGGCCAGTCCTGGACGCCGGCTCAGTCATCCTCAGCAGCCCCCCACGGGACGCGAGAGGCAGCCAGCATCTGAAGCGCCTGGGAGAGAAGGGGAGACGGATGGGCTACTCTCAGGTGGCTGGTCCAGTGGCCAGGGCCCTCAGCTGCAGGGAGTTCCCTCCCCTGCCTCTTGACCCCCCCGAAGATGCTTGGAGACATGGCGGGGCACATGGTAGGGACAGCCAGGAGGAGGCCTCCCATGATAATCAAAGGCTGAGGCTTCCCTCCCTCCCCCATCTCGCACTCCCTCCTGGCCTCGGCTGCCAGGTTAAGGTCTCTGCCCAGTCCCTTTCTCGCGACAACACACCTCCGCAGCCATCCTCCCCTCGGCCTGGCTCAGCCCACACACGCAGCTGGACAGGACGCATTATCCCCCGATCACTAGGAAAATCAAGGCAGAGATGGCCCAGCCAGCCAGTATGGTCTAATGCGCCCAAGTAGAGCGGCAGGGGCTGCCCAGGGTGCGTGTTGAGAAGGACCTAGAGCCAGCATCTGAGCGTCAAGGGAAGGCAACAGGTTGGTGAGCAACACCTGGCCGGGCCAGGGAGGCAGGAGAAGTCAGGAGGCTGCCTCCCACCCCCTGCAGTGCTGGCCACCCCGGAGGTAAGAGGCGCCCCGGGGGAAGATGGCAGCAGACAGGGTGTGCTGGGGTCACTGCCCTGGCACGTGCTGACACCCCGGAGGCCCACGCGGGGAGGCGCCTGCTGGGGCCAGGCGAGACCCGCTCTGGGGCCACTCACCTGGCCTAGGGTAGGAAGGTGCGCACGCAGCTGCGGATGGGGGCCCTGCAGAGGGGGCAGAGCCGCAGCACAGGAGCGCAGTCCGCGCAGACCAGGTGGCCGCAGGGCACGAGGACGGTGCACACGGGGTGGTCCAGGCAGACCTTGCAGGTCCGTTCCTCCTGCAGACGCCGCAGCTGCTCCTGGGCGTCCTGGGCTCCTGGGGGGACCAGCCGCACCCTCCGGGCCTGGGCTCCGCCCGGCTCCTCCACATCCACCCCCCCCTCCCCGAGACCTCCACCTTCTGTATGGGGGCCAGGCCAGGAGCGCCCTCCCCCGGCAGGGTGCAGGGGAGCCGGTCCTGCCCCTGGCGGTGAGGGGGGTCCCACCCTCACCTGGCTCTGTGGCACCTTCTGACTGGGCCTCCCTTCTGGGCGTTGGCAGCTCAGGACCCACGTGGACAGGAGCTGTGGGTGGTGTGGGACAGACTAGAAGCCCCCAGGGGAAGTGAGACCCCACCCAGGGGGCCCCACAGGCGAGGTCTGGCTCTGGCGGAGCCCATGCTGCCCGAACCCCCCAGAGCCCACGCCACCAGGACGGGCCCTCCGGCCCCTGGGCAGTGGGAACTGTATGCCAGGGGAGAGCATGGGGCAGGGGTGGGCACGCACCTCTGGCCTCCGCAGCCCGGCCCCCGTCATCTTCCTGGAGCAGGTCGGCCACCAGCTGGGACGCGGATACGCTGGCCGGCACCGCCCAGAGGTACTTACGCTGCACCAGCCGCCGTACCTGGTTCTGCCCGAAGCCCATGCAGAGGGCAGCCTGCACTGCCGGGCACCGGCTCCATGCAGGCCACTCCTGCCTGCCCCTGGCATCTGCAAGGCAGGGGGAGGGGCACTGGACCCAGGGAGCGGGGCGGGGGGGGGGGCCCAGCAGCCCGCTTGCCACTGTGGCCAGTCCCTGTGGCCGCCTTAACACAGGGGCCTCTGTGGCCGTCACGGGAGGGCTGTTCCCAGCACGTTTGTCCAGAGGCGCCACCACACAGAAAACATAGGAAACGTCATCGCCAAAGCCACTGCAGACAGAGTCCCAGCGGGTGTCAGGGGCTGCTCCCAGAGCGTCACAGAGACCAGGCTCAGTTCCAAATTCAGAGCTCGGGGCAACAAGGCCCAGAGAGCAGCAGTCCCTTGCTACAGGGCTAGAGAGGAGAGCCAGGATCTGAGCCCCGGAGCCTCTCGGACCCCTGCCCTGCCAGGTCCTGGGCGTGGGTATGGACAGGACAGCCCCGCTCCTCCGCACGCCCGTGAGCGCTGCTAAGGTGGGGCCGTCCGGTGCACAGCCTCTCCTCCTCCCACCCCTGCCGCCAGCGCTGGGATCGGCCTCGCCCACGGCGGCCTGCTGTGGCCTCCCCTGGGCGCCAGACACACGGAACGCCTGCACACAGCCCCCTACCCCCAACGCGGGCCCAGCACTGCTCCCTCACACCTGGCTGAGCACACCTGGCCTGCTCTCCAGCACGGGGACACCCAATGGCCCGAGCCACAGTGCGGGCTGCAGGTGCCCGGGGAGCAGAGCACGGGTCACACTTCACGGCTCACCTGAAGGGGCGGTGGGGGCTGAGTCTGCGGGTTCTTCCGATTGGTCCTGAAAGGAGCCAGAGGACATCTGTGCCCTGAGTAGGTGCAGGGGCAGGGGTGGGGAGGGACCCTCACCGTCCGTCCCGCCACGGCCCTAAGGGGAGCAGGACTCACCCAGGAACCCAGCGGGTGGTAACAAGACTCCTGGACGCTGCAGACAAAGTCCCTTCCTTTTGTCTGGAGCAGGAACCCACACCTGGAGGAAGCAGCTTGAGAGGCCTCAGGGCTGCAGGCCCGGCTGTCAGAGAACCAACCTCTCCAGCCCCGCCTGCCACCGTGCACCCCACACAGGCCCGCGCAGGGCAGTCGGGGCTCACTGAGTGTCAGGCACTTGCTGGGAAGGCCGCCCCCAGAAGGCCCCCCATTCCCGGATTTCACGCCCCCCAGGACTGGGGAGGCAAAGCCGGCCCATACCCCGCCCCAGGAGCGGCCTGCAGGGTCCTTACCTGGGGAACCACTTGGCATGCTCTGTCCAGGGGTCATCCCCTTGCTCCCAGCTCTGCAGACCCCCGCGGCAGAAGAAGCACCTCACTTGGTCTTGCCGCCCTGGGTGAAGCATGGATGCTGGCCCTGCCCACACCCGGCCCCTCGGTGCCGCCAGGAGCCCCCTCACCCACCCGCTAGGCCAGGTGTGTCCTCCAGGGCTGGGGTCGTGGGGGCTCCCAGGTGGTCTTTCCTCACATGGCAGGGGCTCTCTGGGGTCACCCTTGAGCCCCCGCGGGGCCCCCCCTGCTCTCTGCCACCCCACTTGCCTTGCATTCCCCCTGGATTTCACATGCACCCCACTTTCTCAGGGGCGAAATGGGGGACGGGGCAGGCGTTTGTTCACAGCAAGGCAGGTGGACAGTTAGACCTGGAGCCCTGAGTATTCTGTGACCTTGCAGCTTCAGGTGACAGCAGTTCCTCTGTCACCTCTGCCCCAGGTGCCACCTCCCCAGGACAGATTCCCAGTGACGGGGAAAAGGGGTTAGGGCAGCCTCAGGCATCCACGTGGGGATGCCGCCTCCGCCTCACCCCCCACAATCAGCAGAGACTGCAGACCAGGGGCTGCTACGGGCACAGCAGACCTGACAGCCCGTCCCTGGGTCTCAGGGGCCCCACGGAAGCCCCACACACCTCCTGTCCCCCTCCCCCCCCCAACCCCTGCACTCGTCAGTCTGAGCACCCAGGAGAGACTCGGAGGCTGCGGACAGGTGCCCCCCTCGGCTTTATCAGGCACAGACCCCCCTGCTGTGGGGGAGGAGCTCCCCGGAGACCCTAGAAGTCTCCTAGAAGTCCAGAAGGGCCCCCAGGGCTCACCAGTGTGGAAGAAGCCTGCGGCAGCCAGCGGCTCTGGCCGCACCACAGCACTCAGCGGCCAGTCGTAGAAGGAGGCCAGCCTCAGCTCCTCAGAGCCCATCCCGGGGAAGGCCGGCCCTGTGGCTGGGGCTGCCCTGGCCCCCTCCTCCTCCTCCTCCTCCTCCTCCTCCTCCTCCTCCTCTGCAAGGGGGCGCAGCTGGCCCAGGATCTGCCCATCTGTGTGGTCCCGGCCTCCCCAGGACAGGGCACAGCTGGTGTCCTGGTCCACAATGGAGCCGCACAGAGAGAGGGGTCCACAGGGGGCCCGTGTGGGACTGCGGCCGGCCACCCAGCAGCTTCGCTCAGGGCCACAGCACCGGCACTTGGCTCTGTCCTCGGGCCCCATAGAGCAAACACCAGCCCTGACCAGTTCTGCAGCAGGCACGTGGGCCTGAGGAAGCCGGTCCTGGAATGTGCCCAGCTAACCTGCCTCCAGGCTCCTGACCCCAGGGCCCTGCCTAGGGACAGCAAGTGGCTTTTGCCTCAAACAGCCGGGCAATGAGGCACAGTCCTGACCCCAGGATGCCCCAGGTGGGGGAGTGGCCAGGGGGCCCACTGCTTTCTGGAAGGGGCCAGTGTGGCATCCAGCATCACGCGCTCTCTGCAGCAGGGGTGTGTCATGGGGCTCAGCAGTAGAGGCCTTGCCCCACTCCACAGGGGTGGGGTGAGGTGGGGAGAAGGGGGAGGCAATGCTGTGGGTCAGCTCTGAGCTCCTGGGCCAGATGCCAGTGACGGCCTCTGAAGGCAGAAGGTTCCAGGTGCTTTGAGCTATGCACTTAGTGCCCCCTAGAGGGGAGGATGGCCCCCTGTCACAGGGATGACGCCGGGCTCCCTGGGACAGGGATGCCTAGTGAAGGGCTGGGCCCTGGAAGTTGTGCTCTGAGCCCTGGAGCTGAAGGGGGCGTCAGACATCCCCGCGTTCAGCCCATCGCCCAGCCCCGCTCCCAGCCCCGTGCCCCGTGCCCCGTGCCCCGCCCCGAGCCCAGCCCTTCGTCCTCCCTGTGGCCCAGCCCCGAGCCCCACCCCGAGCCCTGCCCATCGTCCGGCCTGTCGCCCAACCCCGAGCCCAGCCCGGAGCCCAACCCTGCACCCAGCCCCATCGCCCCGCCCCACCCCCAGCCCCGCCCCACGCCCAGCCCCCCAGAGCCCGAGGGCCTCAGTAGGTCAGCGTGCATCTCTAGTCCTTAAGCCGTGAAGTTCGGGGACAGTTGGGCTTGTGTCCTTCCCGAGGTTCTGGGGAAGGGGCTGGCCTGAGTCGCTTCTATCGCCTCCCTCAGCGTCAGCGTCCAGGTGGCACTAGGCTGAAGGGTGAAGTCACACAGCGTGGGCTCGGTTTTCCCATTGGAATTAGCGCTTCCCAGGCCACTGTGACCCAGACATTTGGGGAGGGGTCACAGTTCCAGCTACCTGCACCTGCTGCGTCAGAGGAGTCTTGCTGCTTGGGAGACCACACCCACCATCCCATCGCCTTCCCTGGTGCCCCCCACTCTGCGTCAGAACCAGCCCGCGTCCCCGGGCCTGGCTGCAGCTCATCCTCCTGCCGGGTACGTGCCGGGAGCCCCCAGTGTCTGCTGGGGGCCCAGGTTTCCAAACTGCACTCCCACCACGTTCCAGGTCAAAGCCGCTGGCCCCTCAGGACCTTCCCCGGATGGGCTTCCCTCAGACCTGTCGTGGCCACACAGGCTCCACCAACCAGCTCAAGCCCAGGGGCCCCACCCAGCACCCCCAACCCCAACAGTTAGGGAACACGGGACGAGGGCTGAACCCAGGGACCCCGGGCGGGCAGAGCAGGATCAAAGGGCACATAAGGTCCAATGAGGAGAGGACAGACAGGAAGGCTGGATGGGGTGTGGGGGCCGCGGCCCCGGGGGCCCAACCTAGCTCCCTGCTTCCTGGAGCAAACCTGTCTCGGGGCCTGCTCGGGCCCGAACCCTGGCTCGTCCCTGACACGCTTCTCCCGGCGGCTCCCATCTGGCGTCCGCGCAGGGCTGCTCGCAGTGAGCAAGTAAAGAATAAAGTGAGGAAGCAGGCTAGTCAGGGTCATTGCTGACAGCGGGGCAGGGCGCGGTCAGGAGAGGCTAACCTGTCCCAGGCCTGGCCGCAAAAACACCCCCAGGGCTGCCGGCAGGGTGGGCCACGCCACGGCGAGGGGCACAAAGAAGCACCGGGAGGAGGCGCGGAGGTGGAGGGGTGTGGGGTCTGACCCAAGGGAGACGAGATGGGGCCGGGCACCTGCCCCAGCACGCTCGCTCACCTTCCACGCGGAGCTGCCTGAGCCCGGCCACAGCCGGGAGCCCCTGCTGCCGTAGGTCAGCCTGCACCCGTGCCTCGCGTCCAGGGGGCCGGTGGCTGCCACCTCGTCCTGGAGGAGACCCGTCGCTGTCCTGGCTACACCAGCTCTCAGCTGCCGGGGTCCCAGCGCGTCCCAGAAACCTCCTCCTGTCAGAGGCCCAAAGCCACCCGGTGTCCCGCGGGAAATCCCCGCACGGCGAGTGGCCGAAACCAGGCAGCAATCAGCATGGCACTGCACCCCCTTCTCTGCCCCGTCCGGCTCCCAAGGCCAGAGTGGCCTGTGGAGGGGGGTGCAGCAGGGGCGCAGGCGGGGGAGGGGTGTAGCTCAGGGGCTGTAGGGGGTGGCCTCCTGCAGGAGGAGGCCGTGGGGGCTGGACCCCAGATGGGACTTCCCAACGTGTTGGTCTCCGGATATCTGGGCCCTCGACCCCTCCGTGATCCCGTGCCTGGGATGCAGAAACACTGTTAGCTTTGGCCATTTCGGCAAACCCCAAAGGGGCTTCTGGGGGGTTCCCTCGGGGGCGGACCCTCTGTCCCTGCTCCACCCCCACCGTCAGATGGACAGGGAGGGGGGTACCAAGTCTCCAGCCCGCTTTTCCCTCCAGAGAGAAACCCGCAGCGCCCAGGGTTGCTGTGGACGCTCTGGACCTGGGGCCCGGACAGGCTCGGACGACCCTTCCAGGTGGCCCTGGGGGCACCTGTGTTGTCTGTTCCCTCTGGCCCTACTGCTGTGGGGCTGGCTCTGGAGAAGCAGTGTCCCACAGAGTTTCGCGGATCAGGAGGTGGGGGGAAGGAGGCGTCTCCCTGGGCGGCTGGGGTTCGCTGCCTGAGCCGAGGGGCGTCTGCGGGAGGCCCCGCGCCCACTGCCCTGCTCATCTACAGCCACGCCTGGAACTGTCGACACAAAGGATCATCCGTGTTGTTTGTATAAGTGAATAAAGGGAACTAGGGAGGTAAAAATGGCTAGCACATGCTCCTTCTGGAAATACCGAGAACACTGGAAATGTAAAGAAAATAAGTCACCGTCTGAACCAGCTCTGTGGCCAGACCAGGGCCAGCTTCCGGATCTGACCTCGCCCTGCAGCCACGCAAGATGTGACCACGGTGGGGGGCTGCACTGCACCCCTGCACGTGTCGCTAAAACTCTCTGTGAATCTAGGATGATTTCAAAAGAAGGAAAAAAACACCCATGGGCATCTGGCACTGAGACGAAAGCACTGCTCTTACCACCCGGCTGCTGACTCGCAGCCAAGCTCCACTTACCTGCTCTCTGCCCGCTCTCCCCTCCTCTGCCCCCTCTCCCCTCTGATCCCTCTCCCCTCCT